TCAGTTGGTTAAGCATCTGCCTTCAGCTCAGGTCACGTCCTGATAAGCACCACATCCATCGGGCTCTCTGATCAGCGGGGAGCCTGCTTCTCCCTGCCTCTCTGCCTGCTGCTCACCTACTTGTGCTTTCTCTCTCTGTCAAATAAATAAAATCTTTTTTATTTATTTATTAGAGAGAAAGTGAGAGCAAGAGCGATCACAGACGGAGAGGGAGAAGCAGACTCGCCACTGAGCGAGGAGCCCAATGTGGGGCTAGATCCCAGAACCCGGAGATCATGACCCGAGCCAAAGGCAGATGCTTAACCAACTGAGCCACCCAGGCGCCCCAATTAATAAAATCTTAAAAAAAAACCCACAACAACCACCAACTTCTCTATGCCTCATTTTTATTATCTGTAAAGTGGAGAAGACAATACTACTTAAATCAAGGTGTAAATGAATTAAAACATGAAGTATTGGAATGATGCAGGGCATGTAGCAAGCTCTTGATAAGTTGTCATTTTATTCATATGTATATAAGGGGAAAAAAAGTAAAAAAAGGGGCACCTGGCTGGCTCAGTTCGTGGAGGATGTGACTCTTGATCTTGGGGTTCTAAGTTCAAGCCCCACGTTGGGTGTAGAGCTTAATTTAAAAAAATGTGTATAAAATTAGAGCTTATTTTCTGACTAAAGTATTGGAGAAAGGGAGGTATGCTTTCCTACTACCATATATATTTTTTGTTTTGCTTTTTTAAGATTTTATTTTGAAGTAACCCTACACCCAACATGGGCTTTAACTTAAGAACCTGAGATCAAAAGTTGCACACTCCACAAACTGAGCCAGTCAGGGGCCACAAAATATTGACTATTACAAAAGCTTTTTTTTTTAAGATTTTTTTTTTTAATTTATTCATCCGAGACACAGAGATAGAGAGAGAGAGAACATGAGCACGGGTAGAGGCAGAGGGAGGGGGAGAAGCAGAGGGAGGGGGAGAAGCAGGCCCCCCGCTGAGCAGGAGCCCGATGCGGGGCTCCATCAGGACTCTGGGATCATGACCTGAGCCGAAGGCAGACACTTAACCATCTGAGCCACCCAGGCGTCCCTGACTATTACAAAAGTTTTTTTAACAAAAGTGTCCAATATGAAAATGCACACGACCTGATTTTTATGTCATGAAACATGATGAGGGGGCAGATGGCTAGCTGAAGACAAAGTGCAAGCTGACACTCTGCAACCTCCCCCACCCCGTACTCCTGGGTGGGATGTGGGTGAGTTTCTTCCAGGAGTCTCCCAACTGTCTTAATGTTAATACCTTGCTAGAGGGGAAAACAACCTAACTTGACAATGGCAAGGCCTCCAACCTCTAGTAGGTCCTCTTTAGCATTAGCTTGTAGTTCCTCTTTAGCAGTATCCTGAGGGTCTTTTTTTTTTATTTTAAACATTTTATTTATTTATTTGAGAGACAGAGGATGAGAGAGAGAGAGAGAGAGAGCATGAGAGGGGGTTGGGTCAGAGGGAGAAGCAGACTCCCCACTGAGCAGGGAGCCCGATGCAGGACTCGATCCCGGGACTCCAGGATCATGACCCGAGCCAGTCGCTTAACCAACTGAGCCACCCAGGCGCCCTGAGGGTCTTCTTTAACATATGAAAATCCTTTTGAAATCCCCTTTTTCTTACTTCCAACTCCTGAGTATATAAATAGCCACTCCTCAAAACCCCAGTGCAGCAGCTCTTTTTGCCAGTTGCTGTTCCTGTCCCCGTGCTTTGCTTTAGTAAAACCACCATTTTGCACCAAAGACATTTGAAGAATTCTTTCTTGGTCAACGTCCGGACCTCACCCCACCGAACCTCACCCATATTCCAAAACCACATCAGTGACTACTCAGGGAGCTCAAAGATCCCAAAATTTATACAAATTTTTAAAGTTTATTTATCTCGGTAGTCTCTACACCCAACGTGGGGCTGGAACTCAACCTTGAGATCAAGGGTCACACGCTCCTCCAACTGAGCCAGCCAGGCGCCCCCCAAAACATTTTTTGAATAAGGTATTTTTCTTTTTTTAAAGCTTTTAAAAAATTTAATCTCTACACTCAACATGGGGCTCAAACTCATGACCCTGAGACCAATAGTTGCATGCACTTCCGACTGAGTCAGCCAGGTATTTTTGAGTAAGGTATTTTTAAAGAAGTACTACATTTACATGGTGCTTAATTAAAAAACCACCCAAGTGATGAGGGATCAGAAGGCAAGCTGAGGACAAAGCACAAGCTGACACCCTGCAAACCTCCCCCCACCACTGTGGGATACTTGTGACATTCCTCAGACCCTCCTGGATGCCCTAAAACTAGGGGAAAGGAAAAACAAATGGTTAACTGATAAAGATCACAGTCCTGCAGGACATGAGTCTCCCTCAGTTTATAAATGTCTTAGTGATTTACAAGGAAAAAGCATTCTTATTGATAGCCTAACTTCCAGAGATCCATAGACTTAATTTCCTGGAGCCCTAACATCACCCTCCCCTCCACAGTGATGTGGAAAACAAAGGTAAAAGGAAATGCAGGTAAAATTAAACTTCCTTATCAACTGTAGCCATTGACAAGGACTTGTGATAGGAAGATAATATTCCTCCAGTAAGCTCCCAACTTTTTTTTTTTTTTTAAGATTTATTTATTTGACAGAGCGCACAAGCAGGGGGAGCGGCAGGCAGAGGGAGAGAGGCTCCACTGAGCAGAGAGCAGAGAGTGTGGCTCAATTCTAGGACCCTGGGATCAGAACATGAGCCAAAGGCAGACACTTAACCAATTGAGTCACCCAGGTACCCCAAACTCCCAACTGTCTTAATGTTAATACTTTACTATAGGGAAAACCAACCTCAGCTTGACAATGGCAAGGCCTCCAGTATCCTGAAAGTCTTCTTTAGCATATCAAAGTCCTTCTGGACATCTCCCTTTTTCCTTACTTCCCCCAACTCCCAAATATATAATCAGCCAATCCTCACAACCCCAGTGCAGCAGTTCTTTCTGCCCATAGGCCCTGTCCCCGTGCTTTATTAAAATCACCTTTTTTGGGGCACCTGGGTGGCTCAGAAGGTTAAGCATCTGCGTTCGGCTCAGGTCATGATCCCGGAGTCCCGGGATCGAGTCCCGCATCGGGCTCCTTGCTCAGCAGGAAGCCTGCTTCTCCCTCTGCCTAACACTTCCCCCTGTTTGTGGTCTCTCTCACAAATAAATAAATAAATAAAACCTTAAAAAAAAAATAAAATCACCTTTTTTTGCACCAAAGACATCGCAAGAATTCTTTCTTGGCCATGGGCTCCGGACCTCACCAACATTCCAAAACTCATGAAAAACATATACAGTAAAAGGTTTCTCTCCCACCCCATCTCCCAGGCAGCCAGTCTCCTACCCAAAGACAACAAATATTACTGGCGTTTTGTGTATGCTTTCAGAGATAGTCTCTGCATTTACAAATATGGGTGTATATTTCCCCAGTTCCCACTTTTAAAAACCCACACACAAAGAAAAGCATGGACATAGTGTTTTAAACCTAACTTTTCTTTGTTTGCCTAATGTATCTTTGTGTTTCCAGTGACCCATAGTAATGTTATTGTAATGACAAGTATGTATTCCTCAGAGACTAATGCAGTGCTGTGCACCTAGAAGGAATCCAAGGCACAGTTAAATAGAACTAAACTTTCTGAGCTGTAAGGGTAGAGATCAACCAGTCTGCTTTATTTTACAGGCAGGATAATTTATAGAAAGTCAAACTAACTTGCCTAAGGTCTTAAGAGTTAATATATACAATAAAGTAATGAATGAGAGTCAATTTAAAGGATCATCCACACCATTTCAATGCATGTGTATAGATAGCTAAAATATTAAGCCCTAACAAGTGTTGCAATAAATAGAATCCCCTGTGGTGTTAACTAATAGCTGTACAATTTAAGTTTAAAAAGTAATCTCACTGGGGCTCCTGGGTAGCTCAGTCGTTAAGCGTCTGCCTTTGGCTGGGGTCACGATCCTAGGGTCCTGGGATCGAGCCCCACATCGGGCTCCCTGCTCTGCGGGAAGCCTGCTTCTCCCTCTGCCACCCCCCCGCTTGTGTTCCCTCTCTCGCTCTGTCAAAAAATAAAATCTTTAAAAAAATAAAAATAAAAGTAATCTCACACTCTGAGGAAATGGAATATGCTGTCGGGCCAGGAAGCAGAAGTGCACCCAGGGATACACCGCGCTCACAACACACATGCCGGGCCTCCCTGGGCTGTGGGTAAGAGACGACGTCAGTGACAGGGGTCAGACCCAGATCCTCAGCACAAGGATGGATGGAGATGGTTCTGTCACTCAGCAACCCGGCTAGTGCGGGCACGACTCTAGGGACCTGGACTGCCTGAGTGGGTCCACGCACTGTTTTTTGCGGCAGCCGACGGCACTCGCGTGCGCACACGCTTACTTGTGCGATGCACGCTCAGCTCTGGGAGCTGGCTCCGTGCCACCTGACGGTCTCTGCCCTGGGACTGCTTAACGGCGAGGATTAGGCGACGCTCCCCCGCCCTGTACGGTCAGCTCGCGCAAGGCCTCGGGTCTCCTATGCCAGGCGGGGACGCGGCAAAGTTCTCGCACCCACCCACGCTCCAGAAGGAGGAGAAAGGAAGACAGAGGCTAGCGCCGCGCACGCGCGCCAGGGCAAGGCCGTCAGCGCGCGCAGGCGCAGCCTCCCCTTCCTGATCGCCTCGCGCCCCCACCCCTCAGAGAAGTCTTCCTGTCCCGCCCCCCGAGAGGAACGGGGGATGCGATTGGTCATTCTGGTTGTCCATCAGGCCGGTCTCACTGCCATTGGCAGCCGGGGAAAAGGCCGGTCGGCCGCCGTCGCCCTGCTCCTGAGAGACTCCGCGCCACCGCGGAAGCCGCGATTGGCGGAGGCCGGGCCAGAGGCCGCTCGCTTCCGGTCTCCGCGAGCCCTCCCCGCCGCCGCCTCCGACGCCGCCGCCGCCGCCCTCAGCCTCCCCGCCCCCCGCTCTCCCACCATGGCCGCCTGTGTGTGGTGTGGGGAGAAGCTGGTCCTCCGTGTCCTCCTGTAGCGCTCACTGCCTCACCCTCACCCCTAGGGGCCGGATCCAAAGGAACCTCGCTCCCCAGCCCTTCGGGCCCCAGCCAGAAAGGTTTCCTAACCCCCTACCTCAGGGGCAGGACTCCTCTTTCCCTCGCCTCCTGAGGCAGAAACTTGGGATTTTCTCTGCCTCTCTTAGCGTCAGAAGCCAGAAAGGGCTCCCCTTCCACTTCAGGGCCTCTCCTGCCTTTCCCGGAGGTGCAGACCCTCACCCCAGCACACCCGGGAGCTGGCGGCCTTCCCTCAGCACTGCCACTCCAGACACGGGACCTAGAAGGCCGTCCGCCTTTGCGTCCTCCACAGGAGCGGCCTTTCGGAGAGGAGGGCGGGGCGGACAGCTCCGGGACCCTTCCCGACCCCGCTCGTCCCTCTTGCCCCCAGGCTCTGGCAGCCCGGAGTTCGTAATTTCTAGGACTTCCTGCCCGTCCACCCCCTGGCCTCTTCCCGTCTCTTGGCCACAGCCATGGAGTTACAGAAGGGAAAAGGGGCAGCAGCAGCAGCAGCTGCTTCGGGAGCAGCGGGAGGTGGAGGAGGAGCGGGAGCAGGAGCCCCAGGAGGGGGGAGGCTGCTACTTTCAACCAGTTTGGATGCCAAGGATGAGTTAGAGGAGGTAGGTGTGGGGGTGGGGAAGGGAGTTAAGAAACTGGGCTGAGGAGGGGTACCGGAGCGGGTACGGGGTGGGGGGTCGGGGAGGAGGCCTTCAGGGGTTTTCTGAGGCAGCACGAGCACCGCTCCAGACTTCCTGCTCCAGAAGGAAGGAGCGCGGGCCAACTTCCTGGACAGGTTGTCATAGCAACAGCAGCCACTAGGATGAGGATGGGTGGGGGGGCGTTGATGAGGAAGGGAAGCACCGTCCAGATCTGCCGAGTTTATTTTTGGCATTCTTTTCCACATGTATTCTTCATACCTGCCCTGCTTCAGACGGGGTCCTGTGTTGAGTTGACAAGTACCGTGTGTGTGTGTGTGTGTGTGTCTGGGGGGGGGCTGACAGGAGTCCGCAGCCGGCTTCAGAGCCTCCTGTTAGGCAGCGCTGACTTCATGTGGACGCAGTTGACCGCGATGTGCGCTGGGCGTTTGAAGACTCAGGGAACAGTGATGTTTGGTTAAGGTACGATCAGCTACAGCTTCTGTCCTTCAGAAGCAGATAGCACACACACGAGGGTGCTGGGAAAGGGGGTCGAGTGAAGTCACACAGGGTAGTTGACCCTCTGCCCCCCCCCACTTGTTCCCCTCCTCTTGTCCCTGACAGCCCAGAGTGCTGCTACTCAGGTAGAGTCACAGGAATAGGAGACCCAGAATTGAGAAGGGACTGCTAAACTGTTTGTAAGACCTAATGCATTCAACTCTGTGGTTATCCAGGAACAGGGAGAGCACAAGAACAGGGTCGGCCTCTTCCCCGACCATTTCCCTGCTTTTTAAAAAATTTTGTTTTATTTTTTTATTTTTTATTTATTTATTTTGTAAAGATTTTATTTATTTGAGAGAGAGACACAGCGAGAGAGGGAACACAGGCAGGGGGAGTGGGAGAGAGAGAAGGAGGCCCCCCACGGAGCGGGGAGCCCGATGGGGGGTTCCATCCCAGGACCCTGGGATCATGACCTGAGCCGAAGGCAGACGCTTAACGACTGAGCCACCCAGGCGCCCCTGTTTTGTTTTATTTTTTTAAAGATTTTATTTATTTGAGGGAGAGAGCTTGAGACAGCATGAGTGGGGGGGCAGGGGGAGGGGAAGGGAAGCATACTCCCCGCTGAGCAGGGAACCTGATATGGGGCTCAATCCCAGGACCTTGGGATCATGACCTGAGCAGAAGGCAGACACTTAACTGACAACCACCCAGGCACCCCTAAAAATTTTATTTTAAAGAATTTATTTGACAGAGCACAAGCAGCGGGAGCGGGAGGGAGAGGGAGAAGCAGGCTCCCCAGTGAGCAGGGAGCCCGATGCTGGACTCCATGCCAGGACCCTGGGATCATGACCTGAGCCAAAGGTGGATGCTTAACGACTGAGCCCACAGGCTTCCCCATTTCCCTGCTTCTAACTTTGTCACTGCCCTTTATCAGATAGTAGAGGGTGGGCACGCAGATAGGTGGAATTCATGGTTTAGATTTGAAAAAAATTGTTGATTCAGATACAGAATGATGGAACGTATATGCAGAAATGAACTTTGCAAATCAAGGTGGCTGGATATAACTTTGCAGATCACCCATTGGCAACTGTCTGCTCACAGGCTGGTTTTCCATCCTGCTTCTCCCCCCTAATTCTGTGTGCATTTAGAGAAATCAAAGTTTTTCTGCTATTGTCTTTATCAGCTAAGGTAGGTACAATTAGGAAAATAAACAATGCTACTAAAAATAATGTATTCCCAAAACAAATAAAAATGACTGTAGGAACGTCTAGCACTTTGAATTACCCACTTTTTAAGAAATGGCCACTGTCATTGTCAAAGTATTTGTTGAGCCTAGGGTTCTGCAACAGCAGCTCTAGAATTGTAGAAAGAAAATAGTTGACTGCCTTTGATCCCTCCAGCAGTTTGGGTGGAGGGGAAAAGCCCCCAAGCGTTGGACGAAGATCTGTTTACTCCCCACCCTGATTGCTAGAGGGTTTATCCTGTCTCTGCTAATTTGTACCACAGAGTAGTACAGCGTCCTGTTCTGAACAGTGACATGTTTGCTAGGGGCTCAGTGATAGGGCAGGAGGGGACCATAAAAGAGAGGAAGCATTTATTTTTTTGCTTTTTTGGACTGAGAATGAACTTTCAACTGTTTCCAGAGAGAAGGGGGAGGGAGGGTCTCTCTCTCCCCCTCTCCCCCTACTTTTCCTCCTGTCCTTCCTGTTGTAGATGTTTCCCAGCATTTCTTGGCTCTCCCTTTCCCTTCTTTGGCCTTTACCCTTTGCATTTGAATTTAACATGTTTTTAACCCATGTGTGTGGTTCCCCCTGGACCAGAGTGTCCCTAAGGGCAAGACTTACTGGCTTCTTCCTCTGGGTCTCCCCACAGAGCTCTGGATACAGAAGTTATCAAAACCTGCTGTTGACTGGTCTCTGTTCTGGTGTGGTATTTTCCACCACAGGCCTACCTATTGCCCGGGAACACAGAGGTAGCTTCCTAACAGTATATGCCTCCTGTGTGCAGAGTCTCATAGGAAAATGGGATAAGGGAGACCCAAGTCTGCTTTGCAGAGCTTATCATCTGAAGACTGAGTTAGCATACCCATAAGGAAGGTGGGAAAAAAAGCACCCCAAAAACCTGGTAGTGAAGAGGCTGGGGTCTTTATAGCTGAGTATGATGAGGAAAGGCCCCTTAGAGTCCTGGTGTATGAAACACTGCTGAAGAGCATCCCAGCCAGGAGCTGTGACTCTTACCCAAGGGAGCATTTGTTGAATCCTTTCTTTTCTTTGGCTTTGTTTCTCTCTTTGAAGGGGAAATTCTTGCCCATCCCATTCCAATTTGGGGAATGAGATAAAAACAGTGCCAGAGGGGCACCTGGGTGGCTCAGTCGTTAAGTCTCTGCCTTTGGCTCAGGTCATGATCCCGCGATCATCGAGCCCCACATGGGCTCCCTGCTCTGCAGGAAGTCTGCTTCTCCCTTTCCCACTCCCTCTGTGTTCCCTCTCTCGCTGTGTCTCTCTGTCAGATAAATAAATAAAATCTTTAAAAAAAAAATAGTGCCAGAGATTGGAAGCGTTTAGAACATGCAACTCCTAGTCTCCCGGTCCACAGCTCCCGCTCATTCCTCTCTGGGAAGGACCTGGTCTACTTTGAAGTCAGGCTGAAAGTAGGAGCTGTGGCTCAAACAAGTCAGACCTTCCTCTTAAGCTATAGACAGGTCTTAGGGTTGCATTGGGTAGAGGTACATCCCTTATAGGTGTTCTCCAAGGGGTAATTCATACCTCGTCTCTGAAGAATCTCCAGGGAACAGGCTTTGAGTCATCTCTAATTTTCCCCCCGAAATCCTCATTGCACTTACAAGTGACTCTTGGCTGTAGAGTACTTGGAACCCAGCTTATTCAGTAACTCCTTACTGATGTGAGCTCTTGGGGATTTTGTATGTTGGAACATACCTTCTTTTACTGAAGACAGTGGAATTTGCTCTTTCAGGGCCACTGTCTTCCAATTAGAGAGCAGTATTTAATATGTATTTTTACCAGACTGTGTGTTCACTTGTCTGAGGGAGCGGAAACTGGAAGGTTAGAGGGATGGCTCTGACTTCAGTCCCAAGCTTCAGGTATATACTGGCAACCTAGAAGGCCTTCCCCTACTCTGCCCCTGTTCTGTCTACTGCTGTCATGGAGAACATGGTCAGGTAATCTTGGTACTAGAAAAGTTATTTCAGAAGCTCCTAGAGATGGTAAATATTTACTCAGCTCTTTGAGGTGCTGTCATGGAGGGCTTACTCTGAACAGAGCCACTCTGCCAGTAATTGTTGGCAACTGTATGTATGATTCCATGTTTACTAAGGGCCTCTGGGGACTGGGGGGGAAAGAGGGGTACTGCTACTTGTTTGTAGGGATTTTCTTCCTACAGCCCTCTGACAGGATGTGGTCCTTCTGTCGCTCTGAAAGTTTTGTAATTTCTTCTCCCATCCCTGTTTGGAAAAGTGATTTCTGTAGTTTGGGAAGAGCAGCATCTTTTACATTTCGTTGCCTGGAAAGGACTGGCCCTCACATTTCTTTCCTCATCAGTTTTATCCGTGCATCCAAATTCTGGACTCTCCTACTTCCTACATCCTTAGCTGGGCCTCGCTGTTCCAAGAGGCCACTGTTCTTGACTGGGCAGTGACCCATAGAACTGACTCAAACCTCTGAGTGGAGTATAGACTAAGGAGGGGCCTAGAGAAACCTGGTTCTGTCCAAGGTCTCTGTGTGTTACATCATAGCCAGAAACTTGGCCATTCCATAGGCTGATGCTCATTGCATAAAGATCTTGGTTCAGGGTCCAGCAGTCAGGCCTCCTCCCACCTCCCCTACTCTTCCTTTCCTCTTCTGTCCTAGAAGGCAAATGTTTACAGAGGGTAATTAGGAGAGGAAGCTTTTCAACCTGGTCAGGGACTTAACCCGTGTCCTGTAGTAGGAGGGCTTAGTTTTCAGGAATCTTCAAGGACATGCCATTAGAAGTAGTAGCAGATGTTGGGGAGTGGTCTGTTCTTCATAGATTTGGTTGTGCAGTTGCTGAGCTTATTCACAAATGGAACAGATTATAATTTAACTGAGACTGTATGCTAGATGTTTTCACATATGTTATCTTGTGTAATCCTCAGAGCAATCTTGTGATATATATTTTTTTTAAATAGGGTTTTTTAAAAAAATTAATTTTGTGAGGAGTGCAAGAGCACAGGAGCACGAGCATGAGTGGGGGAGGGGCAGAGGGAGTGGAAGAGAGAGAATCTCAAGCAGACTCCCTGCTGAGTGCCAAGCCTGACGTGGGCTCAATCCCAGGACCCTGAGATCATGACCTGAGCTGAAATTGAGTCGGACACCCAACCGACTGAACAACCCAGGTGCCCCTATTTCTATTTTTCAGATAAGAAAAACCAGGGTTTAGAGAGGCTAAGGAACTCACCCAGGATTAGTTTAAGGCTAGCACGTAGTGGGGGGATCCTTCTATACCATGCTTGTCAGTGTGCTCATTAGCTAGCTGCTGTTTACCTCTTGCATCTCTGTTGATTCAGCAGAGACCTCTTCCTTTGAGTAGAAAGTAATATCTAGAATTTTAGGATGCTGTGCTGCTGCTTGTTCACTTGGGCTGGGTAAGCGGGACTTAGCTGCTGGAGGAACTGATTTCTCCAATCACTGATAGCGATCTTGGGTTAGAGAGGGATACAATTTATTTGTTTGTTTGTTTGCCAGAGAGAGCCAAGCAGGGGGAGAGGCAGGCAGAGGCAGAGGGAGAAACGGGCTCCCTGCTGAGCAAGGAGCCCGAAAGGGGACTCGATCCCAGGACCCTGGGATCCTGACCTGAGCTGAGGGCAGATGCTTAACCGACTGAGCCACCCAGTTGTCCCGAGAGGGATACGATTTAAAAAGGGAAAATACAACCTGATGTTTTTCCTTCCCTCTCCTGCTCATGTGGGAGCTGGACTAGGTAGTGCTGGATCTCACAGTTTAGCTTTCATGTGATCTCACAGCTCCTTTTCACAAGTACACAGGTGCTGTTAAGGCTGAGTGTGCTATGTGACCTAATTTGGAGGCTAGTCAGACCTGATGGGCAGTGAAGTTGTAATACCTTCAAATCTGAATGGCTTTGGGCCTAATGTAGGTCAGAGTTTTGTGACTGTGGGAGTTCCTTGCCGTGCCACCTTATGCTCTTGGTCAGGGATGGATATAGGCAACCTTAGGAGGATGGTGAAGGGAGGCACAGGATTATCTTTCATTCCTACACCTCTTTTTTTTTTTTTTTAAAGATTTTATTTATTTGACAGAGAGGGACACAGCGAGAGAGGGAACACAAGCAGGGGGAGTGGGAGAGGGAGAAGCAGGCTTCCCAGCGAGCAGGGAGCCCGATGCGGGACTCGATCCCAGGACCCTGGGACCATGACCTGAGCTGAAGGCAGACACTTAACGACTGAGCCACCCAGGCGCCCCTTGGGTGGACTTTAATGCAATTGTCCCCACCTTTGTCCAGAGGCTCAGGCAGTTTGGCCTTTTGTTCTCCTTTTCTTTGCTCATGCTCATGTCTTAAAATTTGTTTTTAACTTTTTTGGGGGACTTTTTTTTTTTAAGATTTTATTTGACAGAGCAAGAGAGCACAATTAGGGGGAGCAGTAGAGGGAGAGGGAGAAACAGGCTCCCTGCTGAGCAGGGAGCCCAAGTGGGGCTCAGTCCTACAACCTGAGATCATGACCTGAGCTGAAACCAAGAGTCGGATGCTCAACCAACTGTGCCAGGCACCCCATTTTGTTTCTTTAATTTTTTAAAAAAAGATTTTATTTATTGAGAGCACAAGTGGGGTTAGGGGCAGAGGGAGAAGAAGAGGGAGAAGCAGACTCCCCAGTGAGCAGGGAGCCCGATGCGGGGCTCCATCCCAGGGCCCTGAGATCATGACCTGAGCTGAAGGCAGACACTTAACCCACTGAGCCACCCAGGTGCCTCAATGTTTCTTTAAAATTTTTTTTTTAAAGATTTTATTTGACAGAGACACAGCGAGAGATGGAACACAAGCAGGGGGAGTGGGAGAGGGAGAAGCAGGCCTCCCGCGGAGCGGGGAGCCAGACGCGGGGCTCAATCCCAGGACCCCGGGACCACAACCCGAGCCAGAGGCGGACACCTAACGACTGAGCCACCCAGGCGCCCCTGTTTCTTTAAAATTTTTATTTATTTATTTATTTATTTTTTAAAGATTTTGTTTATTTATTTGAGAGAGAGTGTGAGAGAGAGAGCACATGAGAGGGGGGAGGGTCAGAGGGAGAAGCAGACTCCCCGCTGAGCAGGGAGCCCGATG